CAAACCAAATAAAAAATAACGGAGAAACAGGGAATTGTACACTTGTCTATGTGTATACAAACAGTACTGTATGTACTTCGAAACACACATATATGTATATATTCTAACCTCAAACATGTGACAGCATGTAATTATAGAGGTAAATATAAATTCAAAAACAGTATTTGTAAACACACCCACACAGATATATATGTGTGTGTGTGTGTGTGTGTGTGTGTGTGTGTGTGTGTGTGTGTGTGTGTGTGTGAAACAAATGAGTGCATATTCAAATGTGCACATTTATAAACATGTGACCTTATACAATTAGAAAGCTGAACACTAAGAGCTGAAAAATTCTCAATATTCAGGTACTTGGAAAAAAATCGACCAAATATGTTAGTTTTATAAAAGACTGAGAACTTATCAGCATTCCCTATACATATTATATGTATACAAAACTATAAATACAGATTGGAGTTGAATTGCCCACATTTCCCCATTATTCTAGATGTAAGGAGGAATTTCTACCTAGACAGTTTTTACTCCTGCAAACTGCTACTTTGTGGAACAGACTCCTGTGTGGATGCTTCCCTGAAAACTACAAGCTTAACCTCCTCAAGTCAAGGTTCAATCTTTCTCTATCCTCTACCCTCTCTTATGTTCATATCACACACCTCATTCAATGAACCCTCTATCATGAGTAGCTCTCGAGCCTTTGATGAACTATAGCTTCTTTTATTATTTTTTTTACTAGATTTTACCTGTATAAGACCCAAGAGCCACTCAAGGTAGAGGGTTACTGAAGCACAATCTTTATTTAGTAGGACTTCTCAGGTTAAGGAAGGATTTTCAGAGGCTGGACGAAGATTGCAATAAGGGAATTGAGCGTAAACTTGAGAGAGGAGTTAGCTGAAATGTAAAATGGATGCTGGGTTAGACAGCTGAGCCCCTAAGGAAAATACTTTGAAGTGGATTACAGCACTATTGTCTTAAATAGACTATTGGGCTAATATTGTATGGTCAGATCATTTCCAGAGAAACCACAGGAATCATAGTAAGATTTTGAAAAAAATTCCGTGATTTAAATTCTTCAAAGAATTCTGCTTTTAACTAATATAATCACTTAAAATTATGTTGTTGAATTTCTCATAAAATTAAGTAAGAGGCATGTAAAAAAAAAAAAATTTACTATGATTTTCTAATAAAAAATTTTAAAAATAATTTGATTCATTTGTAAGTTCTGAAAATTTAACTAAAATCCAACAATTATTTGATTTTTGCAAGAATTTCCAAATTAATGTCTGTCACCACAAAAAAGAGGTCAAAGTTTGCTATGCTAATAATTAGTACAACCATGATGCAAGAAAAACGGCTTTTTTTGTAATCAAAATTACGAATGTTATAAAAAGGAGTAAAACATTTAATTAAGTAATCAAAAATATTTTGATCCTTCCTCTTAATAAAATAACAATTCTGATGATAAAACTGTTTTAATTACATTTGGAGCAACTTTTTCATCATAGTATGCTGACTTTTTTAGCATTTTTATGGAAGTACCTATATTATTATCATGTCATATCAGATACTGTTATTATATTGTCATATTTGATACCATTAGATAAAAATTCTTATTAAATAGAGGAAGATGCTTATTAAAGTAAATTTACCAAAAATCAGATGCAAATAAATCGACCCAGAGAAGAAGAAAATGAACGACAAAGCTTAAGTAATGTAGATTAATGTTACTACAAGAAGTACAAGTTAACTAGTGTCAAATGTATGGTGAGTGATAATCTTTGTATCAAGGAGACAAAATACTAAAATCTAGGTAAAGAAGGAATTTTATTCCCAAAACCTAGAGATGACACATTCCTTGTGCAATAACCCAGTTACTGTAGTCACAGGTATTGATAACTGTGAAAATGATCGTTGGATAAAATGTGGCTGATATAAACAAGTGAACAAATAAAATAAAATAAAAAAAAAAAAGAAAAAAAAAAAAAACAGAACCCTTTGACAACACCCCCACAACACCGCACTGTATCAAATTGCCTATTTATAGAGTAATTTAACAATGTTTTTGTCAGATAATGATACCTTAAGTCTATTTACTTGCTTATATATATATATATATATATATATATATATATATATATATATACACACACACACACACACACACACACACACACAATGAGACCCTGTTCAAATCTCATCATGGTCGATTTGTCAGGAAGGATCAAGGTTGATCCCAGTGTGCAGCACTTTTGAAAAGTTCCTAAAAAACCAAACCACACAAGGACACATGGCACAGTGGATTGGTTAGATCCAGTGACAGGACCCAAAGAGTGTGAGTTCAATACCCGGTTAAGGCAGTGGAGAACATTCGGAGGAAATTAACAGGAGATAACTGATAACTGACATCCATCAAACATGGCACATGGGACTAGAACAGTCTACCCCCAGTGAGCGAAATAAAGGGTTCAGTTCGACAATCCAACCACCTGAAGAAGGCCGGAGTGTACAACAGCCAAAATGTTGTAATAAATATGGCGACAAAGATGAGGACAATAGCCCACATAATGTAAATAATGTACATAATACCTCATCTCAGAAATATAGACAGACACCAAACGGGATGACCCAAACCTTGTGAGTGAAATTTGGTAGACAGAATTCTTGATAGCTGTGCTAGCACAAAGCCAAAAGTTATCATGGCCAAGGGCTTGAACGTGATGGCCTTGTCCAAATTGTTGCTCATGCTAGATAGCATGCTCTCTCCCAGAAACTGTGACTAAGTTGCAGTATAAACCACAGGTGGGCTCTGTGGGTGTTGAGCAAACACAAATGTGCCTGAGCGAGCATCTGCAATACAGACTGGCTAACCGCCCTAGTAGACAAGTATCCTCAAATATGAGTTGCCAGCTAATATATATATATATATATATATATATATATATATTAAAGAAAAAACAGATTTTTTAAGGTACCATTATAATATTTATTTCACCAGAGCCCTTTTTAAAGGACGCCGGATCATCAGATAGCAGTGTTTAGCAAAAATATTAGCTCTGGATTTACATTCTTTTTCAGGATTTCATCCTTAGAAGGATTACGTATACGGATTACCAAGTTCTTCATAACTTAATTTTATATATATATATATATATATATATATATATATATATATATTTTCAAACATGTTTCATTTAATAAGACAGACATATGTCAATTTATTTTTATAATGACCCTTTCTGTTCTCTAATTAGTTTCTTGATGTTAAGATGAAATTCATTAAGGAAGATGCCATATTTTTTTCCTATTCAAGTACTTTCAATCTCCTCCAAGGTCATCCACAGGGGTGAATTATAAAGACAAACTTATTAATTACAATAAACCTCATTATAAAAATAAGTAGGCTCATCATAAACTAAACTGATCATAAAAATTAAACTGATAAAATAAACAACAAATGGTTTTGAGAAGAACTTTGTGGTGTTAGCCAGAAGTACTTAGATATGGGAAGTTTTATATACATTAGATAAATGAAAGCAAAGTCATATGCAGAGAAGGTGTGACAGACAATCAATCTGATTTTACTTTATAATATAGACTAGAAATTTTTTGCATGTTGACATGTTGACATGTGCTGAAATCCTCACAGTATTTAATATTGTTAAAGTTATTGCTAACATTTTTTGTCAAGATTTACAAACTCAACATTTTGTTTAATTTTGCAAACTAATTGATGAAATTTAAATAAGCTGATATGTTTACAAAAATATTTTGACAAAACCCCTACTTCACAGTTTAATAATTTCTTTAATTTAATTTTATAGGACTTCATAGTAAACAATATTTAAAAAAAAAATGTTTTTTCCTTTTTAACAGAAAAGAAAAAATTCTTAGGATTTCTTACTCTTGAGCATGCAACATACAACTTACCATGAATAAATATTTCTTTTTGGAGTCAAATCCCAATTTTTTTTAAGCATTTGGCCCTTGTGATTTGTTTATAGTTTGTAAAAATGCATGATTTGGACTATTTCTTCTATGTTTAAAAACTTAAATGGATAGGAAAAAAAAGTCACAGAATTTTATATATAATTATGAGATTTCTTTTTTAATCATGTCTTTTTTTTAAAATAGTGAGATTTGACATAAAATAGAGAATGATAGACTTTTACCCTTTCACCCCCCAAAAAGTTAATGAAAATTTTTGTTACTAAGCTTCCATCAAAGTAAAAAAAGTGTCTTTTTCATACTTCTTTCTTTTCAGTTTTGCCTTAACTGACCAGGCCACTCTAAGCCTCTGACACATTCCCAGCTCCCGACCATCTCTTTAGACACTGAAGGAGTTACAAAATTTTATACTGAATATAATTGCGTCTTTAAATATAAGCTTTTAAATGATCTGAATGTTTTATCTCAAGAAATTATAAAAAGGAAGGAACTAGTGAACTGATGAGGAAGTAAACTGACCGTCACTGACCAAAGTTTATAACAAAGAAAGAGGAAAAAAAGGGAAGAAGATATAAAGAGAGAGGATTTTTTAAATTAGAAATATTTTGGAAAAAAGCTAGGAGGAGGATATTTTTTTCAAAAAAAAAAAAAAAAAAAAAAAAAAAAAAATTAAAAAATAAAAAAAATGACATAACCATAATTTGAAAAGAACTGATCTGAAAGCAAGAGAAATTATGAAAAGACAACAGAAAGAATCTAAGAGAGAGATAGGAAGAAAGAAATTTGAAGGAAATATTCAGAAAGAGAAATCTTGTGTTTATGGAAGAAAAACAAAAATCTTTTAGAAAGAATTTGAAATTATAGAGATTTTCCAATTTGAAAGGAGATAAGAGAAAGAAACATTTGGGAGGTCACAAAAAAATTTCCAAATTGATAAAAGAGAGGGGGAGAGAAAAATGGGTGATAAAAGAGAGAGAAGGAAACTGTGATGAGATAAAACTGAAAGTTGATTGTTTTTTGGGAGGAGATAAAGTTATTTCTTCAAATTGAAAGGTCTATTAAAAGAGAGAGAGAGAGAGAAAGGGATGAGATAAAAAGAAAGAGAAAAAATTAGTAATGCATTTGAGAGCAAAAATTGAAAGATAAGTAGGGAAAGACTTTAAAAATGAAAAAAAAAAAAAAAAAATCTTTAGAAAGTTGTAGAGAGCCATGCAGAACAAAAAGATGAATGGATCTAAAAAATTAATAGTCTACAGAAATGGAATTTCCAAACAACATCTTTCCCAAAAGATTAAAATGAATTATTTAAATTAACCTCATTTTTGATTTCTATGGTAAATGTTTTGATGAGCTACATTTCTTGGTTCCACCAATTCTGATTTGCACAGCTATGCCACCCACCATGTCATGTACACTGGGATGAATTATGACCATTTCCTTTGTATTCCATTAGTAAGAAAGAAGTTCCACTCAGATTATTTCCAAGAACCACTATGTTCATGCCTCTTTTCATGACTGATTAGGCTGAAGATTTTCCTACAGTAGGTAGACTAGTTGCCAACCAAGGCTAAAGAACCCAATCTGCACTGATATTTAACCCATAGCTGGGAGAAGAAAAGATGGATTCATACTTTTTCAAAGCATATTTCTGTATAAACTAATATAATGGCAAGTTTCATAGTGTAGCTTAGACGTGGCACAAGGCCAAAAATATGAGCAATCAAGTGAAGATTGAACACACTAAATAGTCATAACTGTTCTAGTGAAACAAGCTTGCTATTACACCACATTGAGGTGCCCAAAATTAATGCAATGAACCTGACTGGAATTCAAACTTGGATCTATAATTTCTCATGCCAAGCTGCTATTACACCACGTCCCCATTTACTCATGATCATACAACACCCTAATTGCATTTTAACATATACACCTTAATTGGCTGTTGGGCACTTGAATTTATTTTGTCAAAATAAATATTAGTAACAAAATAAAGAATAGAAGAGAGAAGTATTTTAAAGTGTTGAAATTAAATTATAATAAACTTATTTTTAATAACAAAAGAAAAACATTTTAACTTAGGATACAATTAAAGAAGAACAGAACTAAAATCACATATTCTAAATACTCATATTTTGTTTATCAATAGAACCAAAATTGTTCAAATGCAAAAAAAGGTTTTTTTTTGTTCCATTCAACATGCTATTAAAAATTGTTGAAAAAAAAAAATAAAAAGGTCTTTTTAAATTTGAAATTTGAAGTTTAATTTGAATCAGAAACCAGGAATTGAACCGCCTGAGTTTACAATAAATGGCAGGGGGACAAAAAAACAAAAAAAAAAAATAGCAATGAAGTTGGCAAGGAGAACAGCTTGTCTGAAGAAAAATAATCGAGGTATGAGGAAGTGGACAAAATAGACAAGCGCTTGCAGGTTGGGGTAACCTGATATATAGTAAACTAAGTATGGTATAAGGCCAAAATGGAAGAAATCCTGACATTTTCCTGAGGTTCAAATACCAAGAAGTGAAAGAGAAAATGAGAAGAGAAAAAAGAGAGAGACAGACAGAGACAGAACACTTCATGGAAAGTGATGAGAAAGAGGAGAAACAACAAAGTGATGAAGATTATGACAAAATGTTTGTGATGAGAGAGAGGGAGAAAGTGGGAAGAGATGAGAGAAAGTCTGAAAAGAAGAAAAAGAGAGAATGTGAGAAATGATGGAGGGGGAGAGAAAGTGAGAAGAAATGGATTTTCTTGGTTGGTGGGAAAACTTACGAGAGAGAAAAAATGGGTAAAATTATGAGAAAAAAAATAGACCAAGGAGAAAAAAGTGTGAAGAGAGATTCTTGAGAAAGAAAGTGTGAAGAGAGAGGAGAGAGAAAGAAAGTGTGAAGAGAGAGGAGAGAGAGAAAGAAAGTATGAAGAGAGAGAAAGAAAATGTGAAGAGAGAGAAAGAAAGTGTGAAGAGATAGAAGAGAGAAAGAAAGTGTGAAGAGATAGAAGAGAGAGAGAAAGTGTGAAGAGATAGAAGAGAGAGAGAAAGTGTGAAGAGATAGAAGAGAGAGAGAAAGTGTGAAGAGATAGAAGAGAGAGAGAAAGTGTGAAGAGATAGAGAAAGTGTGAAAAGATAGGAGAAGGGAAAAGTGGGAAGAGAGGGGAAAGAAAGAGAAAGTGTGAATAGATAGGAGAAAGAGAAAAGAGATTGGAAAGAGAGAGATGGGAACAGATAGGTGAGAGAAAGTGAGGGGAGATAAAAGAGAGAGAGAAATATGAAACTATCTCAGCTACAAGGCAAGCCACTGAAAATGTCAGTTCTGCATTGATATTTACTACACTTAGTTTACTTTGACAAAAAAAAAAAAAAAAATCTAATGATGTGGTGGGGAGGAACATGGAGGAGCATCGTATTGTACTAATCTCCAAAGTGGGGGGAGAGGAAGGTGACTGCTTGAAGAATCAACCTTGGAAATTCTGGCTTGCAGCTGGGTTCTGACACCAACTTTTGGTACTGGTGAGGAATCTGAAACTCTAAGCCACCAAAGCCGACCACATTTGCCATCA